AACATTTGAATCTATGCAAACTTATTCAATTATCAATGGATACAATTTAACAAAAAAATCTAATCAATAACCACTTCTCTTTTCTTTCTTTCTACAAGACCTACCATCTTCAAATGATATTAATTTTGTCAAATATGCTGACGACCTGACAGTATCTTTGCCTGTCAAATGTTAGAGTGACTGCACTAAACTAAACGGCTTTTTATCAGAAGTCAGCCAATGGTCGAAGGAAAACAGTCTAACCTTAAATCCCTCTAAATGTCAAACAGTCAATTTCACCTTTAGGAATAAATCTGACCCAAACAAAGTGGTTAGCACTCATGAGGTGTGCAGCATAGATGGCACTGAAATAAAAACCAAGTCTGCTGATCTTTCCTGGTCGTCTTATATCTTGATGGTTGCTAAGAAAATATTCCATCTTACCTTCAACATCAAGAAGTTAAGACATTCTGGTATAACCCAACCCTTACTCCTACAATTCGTTAACTCTCGCATTCTGCCTATTATTCTCTATTGTTCCCCCTTAGTTTTTCCTGGGCTACTGAAGAAGGACTATATCTTATTACGTAGAGTGTTAAATGTTGTCAGCAGGGTAATCAACGTGCCACTTAACCAGCTTGTTAATATTCTGGTACACAGGCACTTGAACTCAAATGAAAAATGGCCTAAATCCATTCTATCTATCTAACTCACACCACCACCCTCTTCATTCACAACTCTCCCCTTGTATCTCATCAGGCAGGCAGAACCAGAAGCCTATATAGAAAACTATATGCTCGCACTAGAAAGTACAAAAACTCAACCATAGCCTACTTAGCTCGTGTTCTGTGCGATAAAGAAAGCATTAGGCATGATACCTATAACTTATTAAATAGTCAGTAGAACAACTGGATCTCGTCTTTCCAACTCATATCATTTATAGGTACAACGTTTTCTTTCTTTCTTTTCCTTTTCTCTCTCTATTTTCTGTTATGTTCTGTTTTGTTTCTCTCTTCCTTACAGACTCTACTTAAAACCTTCTTCTTCGTTCTTTCACATTCTGTATATCTTCACCTTTTTGTTACCGCTTACGCCAGTAAACATGCTAACATCTACTTTTCTAACACCAAACACTCTGTTCAATTTTTGGCTTTGCTACCGACATGCCAATATGTAGTTGTCATAATGAACTGAGATTTCCTTAATCCGTGTAGAATTTTATTTCTTGATAATGTACTAACTGGATGCAATACTGTAGTAAAATGCTGAGAATTCCATTCTGTATCACAAGTACTGTTTTGGAATAAAGCAAATTATTATTATTAAATTAGACCTCTGCATTGAAAAGCGCTACATACATTTATTCGCCACCCCACCGTGGCCAAAGTAAAGTTCTTACTATAATTTCGCTCCTTTTTATTATGCAGGTTTATTATTATTATTATTGCCACCATCCATAATTTATTACCACCAGATTTACCTGTTTGACCACGGATTGATATCAGTTAGAGAACCATTGGAAAACCAGGGAGTACTAGGAAGCTGTTTCATCCTAATTTTGGGAATCCTCATCAGTACGCATCCATTGACATGAGTTCAAACCCGGTACCTTCCGGTTACAAGGCAAGCTCGAATACCATTCAGCCACAGGGATCCGCCTGACTCCTCAATGACTAGCCCATGAATTCTAACTTCTAAAAATTCATGATCTGTTTAAGTGCGACTGGCATCAACCGATGTCATCGGTAGGAAATTCATTCTCACGCTTGACTACTCGTTGGACCTCACCGGTCACGGCTTCTCACTAGGAATCTCCGTCCTGCAGGAAGTCACTAGCGAGAATCAGATTAATTTTCAAAAGTTGGTTTGTAAGGATTAGATTTGTTTTAACGATATCAATCCGTTGTCAAACTCGTAAAAACAAATCTAATCTTTTTAATTGAATTTTAGGTTTTTTTTCCCGTCAATTGATTGGACCGAAGTGTTTGGTCTCAGGTTGACATGTCGGCTTCTTGTGCAGATGCTTCGACAACGTCTGGGAATTTAATTAGAATTTAATTTGTCGATAGTGACTATCAGTGAAATCCAGGATGCCCATTTCGTCCTATTTGGGACTCGTTGGTGGCTGGATTTACCTGCATTTCTCAGTGAGTGATGATGTTCCCACCGAGGCTCGAACCCAGTGCCCATAGTTTCAAATCCTGAAGCGTTTTCCACTAGACCACTAGGGTCACGAGAGCCACCTCTTGTGCAACGGGCCATATTAATTTTAATTGAATTTTAGATATTTTCCCGTCGACTGATTGGACTGAATTGCTCGGTCTCAGATGGACATGTCGGCTGGATTCCACTGCTAGTCACCATCCACCAATTAAATACTAATTAAATGCCCGGACATCGTCGAAGCATCTGCACTGTATATACACACCCGATTTATGCATTCAGAAAGAAACAGTTATCAATCTTTCTTCGCCCTGGTAAGTGGATACTTTTATCTCTCTTTCATTTTCTTAAATAACGCCAAAAATTCCGTTGTGTATGATTATTATTGTTTGGAATAAAGTGATTATTGTTATAATTAGCATTGTATACGTATATTGATTGATTGATGTTTTCGTTAAAAATCAACTCTGTGCAAGTATATTAGAATTGTTTGTGTAGATATACTTAATAATGTCTTTGGACTGTAAACGGCTGAGGAGAATTCGACGAAATAAACAAAGGATGGAACCATTTTAATCCGGAAAAGTTGTTGAACATTTTTCCCTCGTTATTTATCAAATATCACTAAGATAGCTTCGTGGAGCAATTCATTGGAAAAGTTGAAAACGAGATTTCCTACTGGGAACACCTGTTAAGCCTGTTATTTACGTCCACTAGTTATTTATATTTACGACAATGGATTAAGTTAGGGAAATATGACTTTCAGAAGTATCCTACAGTCCTTATTATATTACTAATTGGTAAATTTAGTAGGCTGTATTTCACATCATATCCTATATCAATGTTTTAGTATTGATTATTCAGCTGAACACAATTCCGTTATTCAAGAGAAAAGAGAAAATTCAAGTGATCGTTTGTAGGGATTTCATTGGTTATAGGATTCCATCATGAGGTGACATTAGTTAGAGAACCATCGGAAAACCACCTAGGAGTACTAGACAGCCGTTTCGCCCTAGTTTTCTGACTCTTCGTCAGTACGCACCCGCCACAACCGGTTCGAACCCACGACCTTCTGGTTACAAGGCAAGCGAGCTCGTAGACCATTAAGCCACTGGAACCCGATCCAATGGCCAGTCCATGAATTCTAACTTTATGCCAATTCATGACATAGCGCGACCCCTAGTCAATATCTTCGGTGGCGAGTATTTTTCCTCACACCCGACCCGAGAAATCGTGACCAGTAGGGTGCAGCAGGTTGGGTGTGAGGACAAATACTGGTCAACGAAGACACTAGCTAGCGGTTGCACCATATCGTGAATCGGCAGAAGTTAGAATTCATGGACTGGCCATTGGATCGGATCCCAGTGGCTTAATGGTCTACGAGCTCGCTTGCCTTGTAACCAGAAGGTCCTGGGTTCGAATCCCGGTGGGTGGATACTGATGAAGAGTCCCAAAACTAAGGCGAAACGCCTGTCCAGTACTCCCAGGTGGTTTTCCGATGGTTCTCTAACCAATGTCAGCTCATGATGAGTAAATTTTCGCTAAAAATTTATCTGAAGAAATATTTTTAGCATTATTTTTAATTACTTGCAATACTACACTTATAGTTACATAAACTTAGTACTAACACAATCAGAACTTGAAACAGAAATCATGATCCGAAATGGGGTTCTTCTTTTTAACTTCAGTCATTTTACTGTGTGTGTTTAACATGTTTTTTGTACTTTGTATGTACGTCGTCTGTTTGAATGAATACAAAATGTAAAAAGATGAAGAAAAATTGAATACCGCTCACTTATTGAATATCATCCAAATAATCAATAAAAATGATACTACAGGATTTCATCATGAATTGACATCAGTTAGAGGATCATTAGAAAACCAGCTGGGAGTGAGTACTGGACAGCCAATTGTCTCGTCAGTCTAGTTTACAGACTCTTCATCAGTACGCACTCGCCAACAAGGTTGGTTCAACTCCAGAATCTTCTGATTACACAAGGCTGGCTAGTTAATAGCACCATCAAGTCACTGGGATCCGTAGCAATGTGTCTAGTGGAGTACAGCAGGTCAGGTGTGAGAACGAATACTTGCCAGAGATGACATTCGCGCCATATCATGAATTGACAAAGGTTGGAATTCATGAGTTGGTTATTGGATCGATCGAAGCCTCAGTGGCTTAATAGTCCACGAGTTCACTCGCCTTGGGTTTGAATCTCAGTGGGTGCGTACTGGTGAAGAGCCAATTCCAAACTAGGCTTACGAAACAGCTGTCTGGAGGTACTTCAATGGTTATCTCTAACGGATGTCAGTTCATGATGAAATCCTGAAACCAAATAAATCGAATCTCCGCAAAACAAACCCTTGAAAATGATATTTTTTTAACTAATTCTATTAGCCTAATTTAATCACAATCAATGAATACAACACAAATTATCATTTGACACCTACTGACACTTATTTACCAAAGTTTTCTCATTAGAGTTAACCCGGCTGACGCACTCCGCTTTTTTGCCTCGGTGGCACAGCAGTTAAGACGCTCGCTGACCATGCACATAGTCCGGGGTTTGATCCCCGGCCGCAGACGCACTCCTTTACCTCGCCAAACCAGTAATAATGCTGGTAAAGAGGAAAGGTTGTGCATGAGGCTAGTAACCCTATCCTGTAAAAATAATCACCACTGCTACAGAAACTTCAAGCCACTAGCTTCAGGCCCTATGTTCCACTGGGAACGTGAAGGAAAAGAAAATAGTTAAATAACATTTCACTGAATAAATATCAAATGAGAATTTAAAACAAAAATATATAAAGAAGTGAATATAAATAAGTCAACTGATATTGTGATACTCTTATAGTCTCACCTTTGCTTGATTGTCAATATCATTATGCTTTTTCAGCAAATCCTCTGATTCAAGTTGATTTTTTCCAACACAATTTTCTTGATACATTACTTCAATGTTTTCGTAAAGTTCTTCTATCCACCCGATCGATTCATAAACATTTTCTTCACATTCAAGTAACTAGAACGATAAAAAAAACAAGCATATTGAGTAATCTTCAACTATTATTGATTTTGCAAGGGATTTTGTTTAATTGGTTAGAGGATTCCCAAAGGCGAGGTCGAAACCAAAAGGTCCTGGGTTCGAATCCCGGTGGGTGCGTACTACTGGAGAGTTACAAACTAGACTGATGAAACAACTATCCAGTACTCGCCGCAGGTTTTCCAATGTTTCTCTAACCGAAGTCACTTCCTGGTGAAATCCCCTAACCAATATAAATAATCTGTCTGTCTGTCTGTTTTCGACATAGAACAACTTTGCAACGATGTGCGGCAGTTCAAGTCGCCACACTCCCTCTTTGTAGCACACAAAGCAGGAGAAGAAAGTAGAAGAAATGCATAGTACAGACAGTAAATAGAGATCCGAGACAAAGGAATAATAACGAAGAACAATATAGTTTCATTTGAAATCATAAGTCACAAGGAGTGGATGAATCGGCGCCATGCATTGAGAACGATTTTCAGCCATAGCACCAAAAGATTCTTACACTATGCCGGCAACTGCTTTTATTTTATTTATTTATTTATTTTTGATTTACAGCTTGATTCCCCTCTGTATTTTTGGTACAAGTATGGAATTTTCAGTACGCACGCCTCCGACAAGGTTTGAACCCAGGATATTCTGGTTACAAGGTGAGCCAGCTCGTAGACCATTAAGCCACTAGGACCCTATCCAATAGCCTGTCCATGAGTTCTAACTTCTGCCAATTCACGACGCAGCGCGACCCCCAGCCAATGTCTTCGGTGGCGAGTATTTGTCCTCACACCCGACCTGCTGCACCCTACTGGTCACGACTTCTCACTAGAACCCCCAGGTAACTACCTACCTGAATAGGGCCAGTCGCAAGTGAGCATCTCACTGATATTCAAGTGCTAGTTTGTAGGGATTTGGTTGATTGGTTACAGGAGAGAGCAGTCATCATCAATTGACCCAGTTTTAATGTTTGTCAGCACTTGTCAACGAGTTCTATCTCTAACCTTGAGGAAATATGTATTTTAATTAGGGTTTCCAACTTAATTACTATCACTGCTGCTGTCTAAGTCTTTGTGAATAATATGGTAGGTAAAACTGGATAATGTAAGCAAGTACTACAAGAAGCCATGGAAATCCAATTTACTGTTGGTTAACTATTAACAAAAAAAACTGATGGATTATGGCAAGAAGTTGCACTAGATCAATGGATTTCAGCTGATGACACACTGAGGACAAGGTGCAGAGACTGGCCACTGTCAGGTGACAGATGTACATGAACCTTGTTATATGCTGGATATCTCCCACTTAAGTAGTAAACATATTTCTCAGTAACTGTGTACACAAATATTCATCAACCTTATTCAACAGCTGTACGACAACGGCGGCACATGTCAAGTAAGCCACAACGGAAAACTCAGCGAGGCGTTTGGAGTAAACACAGGAGTATGACAAGGCTGCCTGCCTATTATCACCAATGATATTCCTAATTATGGTGGACTGACTGGATTATGCGTCAGACAGTGAGTGGGAAACGAGAAGACAGGGATATCCTGGACCGACCGACGTGAAGAACCTAGAAGACCTGAATTTCGCGCGAAGATGATTTATGTTTGATGTCACTGTCACAAAATCGAAGAGTTAGAAGCGAAAAACGACAAACTGGTCGAAGAAGCAGCCGGCGAAGACACGACTCCAGGTGAACATACACAAGACGGAGGTTACGAGAATAACCAACCAACAACAACAGCACCAACATCCAGCGTCAGTCACCATCAGCGGGAGCGATTTGAAAGAGGCTACTTCATTCACTTATCTAAGGAGCATTGTCCCAACTACAGGAAGTCGGAACGGACGAGGATGTCAAATCGAGCGAGAAGGCGAGCGAGAAACACATTCATCAACCTAAAACAAATCTGGAAATCTTCCTCAATCAACTCACCATCAGCAACAAAATTCAGTCGGATTTTTAATACAAACAACGTCAATTCCATTATGCGTAAATTTTGTTTTGATAAAGTCTCACAGTGTTATACAGTAATGTTTACTGATGACGTTTCGAGCACAATTTATTGCTCATAATCATATCAAGGTAATCACACGACTTCCTAAATTCATTTATATAGTTCCATTGTTTTTCTCTTGACTTTCACTTGATTTGATTGGTAGTAGTATTTTCCATATTTCAGGTATGAGTGACGAGTCATTCCTATTGCATGTGTTGGGTGTAGACTCGATGAACAAGGATTCAGTAATCAACCTCTCTCTCCACCTACCTAGATTACTTTTTAGAATTTTAACCCTCTCCCACCCTATTGTGTGGTTGTGTGTTAGCGCATGCATTGCAATTGCTGAGCTTTTTTCTAAATTACTTATCTTCTCGGGGTCAACCATTCTTACCTTAGCAAATTCTTATGCTCTGACAATCTGACTACCCCTGACCTACTAGTTTGACCTATGTAGTTGACCTCACAGTCATTGCATGGTATTTTGTAAATAATATTATTTTGTCTAATTGGGTCAACTGGGTCCTTTAACCTACAGAGCTTGTCCCTGAGTGAGTTTGTAGGTTTAAATGCCACCCTAATTCCTATTTTATTCAGAATCCTACGTAGTGTCTCAGATGTCCCCTCTTTATATGGTATAACTGTGGATGACTTATATTCTTTCTTATTTATGTTATTATTACTAGTTTCACAATTATTTTTATTTTGTTTTTGGCCTTTAGTGATCTTCCTAATGAATTTTATAGGATAGTTATTCAACACCAACGCTTCTTCTATCTGTTTTAATTCATCATTTAGATCTTTTTTTGTGCTACTTAGTGCCACTGCTCGGTTTGTTAAACATTTAACTAAGCCTGCCTTAACAGTTAAAGGATGAGACGAATTAAAGTCTAAATATCTATTAGAATGCGTTGGTTTTCTATAAACACTAGTGTGTAGTTTGCCTTCTTCTATTCTTTTTATCTTACAATCTAGCATAGCTAATTCTCCTTGTTCATTTTCTGATTCAAATGTGAATTTTATTCCCTCAACTTGTGAGTTTATATGTGTCAAGAAGCTAGAGATGTGTTCTGTTTTTAGCACTGTGAAAGTGTCATCCACATATCTCCACCATATTTTCGGAGTAGGGTTAAATGTATTGAGGGCACTATTTTCCCAGCTGTCCATAAATATGTCTGCTACTATAGGGGATATTGGTGATCCCATCGCTACACCTTCTGTTTGTCTATATATTTTGCCTTGGAACTTAAAGATAGTAGATGTGAGACATAACTGAATCCCTAAAATAATTTCTTCAATGGACAGCTTTGTCCTATGACTGAGTTCCGGATCCGCAGTTAATTCTTTTTTAACTGCTTCTAAGGCCATATTAACTGGTATATTAGTATAAAGACTAGTTATATCAAAACTAACCATTGTTTCATCATTCGCTAGTTGAATGTCATTTATTTTATTTTTCATCTCATAAGAATTAGTTAACCTAGAGTTTGAACGATTTCTAATGGGGCATAGTATTAGAGCTAAGTGTTTTGATAGTTCATACGTGGGGGTATTTCTAAAATCTACTATTGGTCTTATGGGGTAACCTGGCTTATGTATTTTTATAATACCATATATTCTACTAGCATTATTAGTTTTAGGCATTAAATTAAACCCTTTAGACTCAATGAAATTAAAACAGATAGAATTGAATTAAAACAGATGGAAGAAGCGTTGGTGTTGAATAACTATCCTATAAAATTCATTAGGAAGATCACTAAAGGCCAAAAACAAAATAAAAATAATTGTGAAACTAGTAATAATAACATAAATAAGAAAGAATATAAGTCATCCACAGTTATACCATATAAAGAGGGGACATCTGAGACACTACGTAGGATTCTGAATAAAATAGGAATTAGGGTGGCATTTAAACCTACAAACTCACTCAGGGACAAGCTCTGTAGGTTAAAGGACCCAGTTGACCCAATTAGACAAAATAATATTATTTACAAAATACCATGCAATGACTGTGAGGTCAACTACATAGGTCAAACTAGTAGGTCAGGGGTAGTCAGATTGTCAGAGCATAAGAATTTAGCTAAGGTAAGAATGGTTGACCCCGAGAAGATAAGTAATTTAGAAAAAAGCTCAGCAATTGCAATGCATGCGCTAACACACAACCACACAATAGGGTGGGAGAGGGTTAAAATTCTAAAAAGTAATCTAGGTAGGTGGAGAGAGAGGTTGATTACTGAATCCTTGTTCATCGAGTCTACACCCAACACATGCAATAGGAATGACTCGTCACTCATACCTGAAATATGGAAAATACTACTACCAATCAAATCAAGTGAAAGTCAAGAGAAAAACAATGGAACTATATAAATGAATTTAGGAAGTCGTGTGATTACCTTGATATGATTATGAGCAATAAATTGTGCTCGAAACGTCATCAGTAAACATTACTGTATAACACTGTGAGACTTTATCAAAACAAAATTTACCCATAATGGAATTACACTCTACCACAGTGCACAAGTTTTATTCTTATATTAATGATACATATGGTCTTCCTACTAGGAAGCTTATCAACAAACTCACACGACTTAGTCAAACTGAAGCAAGATTTACAAATCATCGGATTTTTAACAGTCGATGTTTAAAAAGCCATATAATTCCAAAATATTTACGTCTACGTACTCCAATTACTTCAAACAAAATAACATCAGCCGCAGAACATGTCAGTAAATTATGTCTAAGAGAAGAATTACATAGAGTTACTGTAAAACTAAATAATATACGAAATCAAATTGAAAAACTTAAACAAAAACTCAAATGTATGATCAATGACAAAGATTATATAATTGTTGTTGAAACATCCAACAAAGCCAGAGAATCCGCATTAAGAAAATCAAAAATCACGCAAATCAAAAAATTCAACAAACTAATAGAAGAAAAGAACACAACAAATGAAACAGATATGAATGCTGCATCCTCTATCGA